ATCTCAGCTGTGGAGGGCAGTGTCACTGGCCCTCATATGTGGGATCCGAACCGGGGCCCTCTGGTGTCCCAAACCAGTTCTTAACCATCGCATCACTCGGCCGGCCCCAGCATCACTATCTTTTGATAAAGCTGTTGCCTGGGGTCTTCATAGGGACAGCACAGAGCACTGTACCTCAAAACTACTTCCTCAAGAGTATTCTTCAGGGCTTCCTCCCATTGATGCTTGGGGGACCAACCTGGCTGCAGTGACACACGCATTGGTCTGGAGGTCCACTGATTTCTTCTGCACTTGCCCATAATAGGTCTGACCCAGGGGCTAAGGGCTGGGTGAATTGGAGAGATTAGAAATGCTGGAGCTGGGGCTGGCCGAGTGACGCGTTGGTTAAGAGCTGGCTTGGGACGCCAGAGGGCCCCGGTTCGGATCCCACATATGAGGGCCAGTGACGCTGCCCTCTACAACTAAGATGCTGAACAACAGCTCGGCCTGGAGCTGGGCTGTTGTGAGTTGACGGGGGCGTAGGCTGCAGCCCCTGCTGCAGTGGGTTGCCATGGGCTACCGTGTGTAGCCAGCAGCCAGAGTGGCCGTCCAGAAGCTGGCAACTGATCTGCCTCGCCCAGGAAGAGCACAATGATGGTGCCAACTTGGACCAGTGAAGCAACGTCCTCCAAAACTAGACTGAAGAACAAAACGACAGCAACATGTCTGTTCCCCCTCCCCCAATTCCCCAACAAAAAATCTTTAAAAAAAATGCTGGAGCTGCTGTTCGAAAACCATCCCCTCCCCACTGCCACCCACCCATCCAGGCCTGGCTGGCCTTTGCTCCCTGTAAAACTCTAAGCCCAGACTCTGCTCAGTCCTGCCCCCACCACATGGGTCCTGGAGGGCAAGGGTGCCATCTGGGCCTTCTTAGGCCTACGGCTCCCACCCAAACCAGGCTGTACCTTTGGCCATTCCCTACCGTTCTCACCTGCAAGTCCTTCCGGATCCATAGTTGCAGGGACTGGGAGGGAGTTGGCCACTGCCTGAGGGGGCAAAGGTAGCTTAAAGGAGACAGTGCTGAGCACCAACATGGGGAAGGGGTGCACTGGGCCAGAGGAGTGGGATAAGAGGCAGGCAGCAGGCACTAGTGGTGGTGGCGGTGGAGAAGGGGCTGGGGGCCTGGGTGGAGAGGCGAGGAGTGGCACACTCACTATCTCCTGGGTCTCCCAGCAGCCAGCTCCCAAGTCTGGGCAGGCCAGTGGCCCCAGCCCAGGGCAGGCAGACCTGAGCCTCCAGGGTTCCAAGCCAGATGCAGCCTATGCATGCCAGATGTGCACAATCCTGCAGAGGCTGCAGGAATCCACCACCTCTTCCAGCCAGATGCAACAGCACAGTCTCAGCTCGTGCTCTGGCCCTCCTGGGCCCAATGTCACCTTGGCTGTCTTTAGTCTTTCCAACCAAGAAGCTATTATATTAATTACTATCTTCCTTTATTGTTCACTGTGATTTTCATTTTATAAATCTCGTATTCTGACTTAAACGAACACCTACATACGAGTAGATAATGATTTTTGCACATTTTGGGAATATCACCTTTTCTCAATCTATTTTTTCAAGTCAGGTTTATTGAGATACAATTTACATTCAGTAAAATTCACCTTTCTTTAGTGTACATTTCTGTGAATTCTGACAAACATATACATCACCACAATCAAGACTTAAAACAGTTCCCTCACCCAACAAAGTTTCTTCTTGTCCCTTTGTACTAAAAGCCCCTCCATCAGGAAAGAATGTCCAAACCTATAGAAAAGTTTTTTAAGAGTTTATTTAAGCCAAGTTTTTGAGGACATGCCCAGATGCAAAATTCAACGGATTGAGAAAATGCTCTGGAGAATGACAGTTCTGAGTTCCTTTTCTGCATTTAGAATCAAAGGAGAAAACATAAGGAAGGTGCACGAAATCCACTGGTGGTAGGTTAAGGAGGCAGGAGAAAGCAAAGCGTGAGAATCTCTAGAACTGGGTAAAAAGCGAAATGGAGAAACATTCTTCTTTTACATGGGTGGGTACAGGATAGGTAATAGTTAACATTTACAGCACATAGAGATGGTATGCAGGCAACAAGATAACAATGACAGGTTCTGTGATCTTGGCTCTGGTGCCTGCCCTGCAGTTGTGCCTTCGAGGGGCCTAGAAAAGAAAATAACTCTGACATTTCAAAGGTATGTTATCCTAGATGCACGAGAACAATGGACAGGCTCTTAAGGTGTGGGAATGAATACTGGCTATGACCTGCCCAGTTAGGAATTTATGATCAGGCCATCTTTTGTGGTTATTTTCAGTCACTGAGCTTATCAGGCCTGCCAAGTACCCCCTTCCACCCCTACCCTCCAACTCCCGGCCTGTCAGGTTTATTACATAACCTCTTTTTCACTCATACCTCCTCCCATCACCAAAACAACCATAGATTTGTTCTCATTCCTTTTCCAGAATGTCATAGAGATGGAATCGATACAATATGTAGCCATTCTCAGTCAATTCTGAATTGTATTTAGGAAAGCAACTCTGCTCAGTTTATTCTGATCCTCTAGTAATTTTTGATCAATTCACTTGTGTCTACTAGGTATTATTTCATCTTGCAGAAAGTTGTATTTATTTTTCTTCCATCTTTATATTTGTATATATACTTTCCTTTTGGGGTTGTAATAAGCATATCTGTTCATCAGGATAATAAGGAGATGTAGGATTCCAAGTGAAAGGATATCTAAGTGGAAGGTTTACTAAATTATACTCATTTTTATTTATTTTTAATTGTTATTTTTAAATATTTTTTAGCTGAGCCATCCTGCCACCTGTTGGCAGCTCAGCAGCAGCTCAGCTCAGGCTGGGACTCGAACCACTGGTGCTCAGAGCTCGCACTCTTGAGCGAGTTCTTAACCAACTGAGCCACTCGGCCGGCCACTAAATTATACTCATTTTAAATCTCATCTGCTAATATCAATCTTCTCTGATGTCAATTAATTGTTAAACATTAATAGGAAGGTGTTGTATTTTTATTTTTTTAGCAAATTAAACTCATGGAAAAAAATCCTTGTTGGAATATTTTTATAAGTTAGAATATTTCCAACTATGAAGTATGTAAAAATAAGTGTTTTTATAGGTATCAGCTTTTTGGCAATCATATAATGATGAAAACACTCCTCAATATTAGTTTTCAAAATACTCGCTCCATAAAATTTGTTCCTTAGAAAAGCAGTCACTTTCTCACTCATTGTTAAAATGGTATTAATATCTTTATCTTGAAGGGACAGATTAGTGGGAGGTTAAGGAAAGGGCTCTATCATTTCCACTTGTTTACTTGTGCTTGCTTTATTATATTATTTCCAATTTGTGGTTATTCACAAGAATCACTTGATAAATCTTAAATCCACTTGAACCACATACCAATAAACTGATATAAAGCAAACCACCATCAACTTAATTTGAGGTTTTCCCTCAAGTGTCTAATGTGCAGGGCTGATTTTGGATCAGATTGCTTGTGATCATAATTCATTCTGATTGGTCAGTGCCTCAGCCACAGGTTTTTTTTGTTTTGTTTTTTAATATCACCCCTGCTAAATGACAGGTATGCTATGTAGATCAGTATGGTACATAGACCAAAGTAGAGCTCGCATATCAAGCCATATTTTAAATATTAGCAAAAGCTAATTTTCTTTTTCAAGATAAAAAATAAGCATACATAGAAATTTTCATATTTTCTTCCCTTACTTCCAAGGATGGCCTTGTGCATCCCTCCACACATTCCACCTTGGAAGCTACTGGTCTGACAATTCCAGGGTAGTTCAGAAAGGTAGACTTGGGTTCAGTACACAGAACCATCTTTCAAGAAGTAGAGCTTTCCAAAATGGCCAGCATCCCTAAGTAAAGGGTTCCCCAAACACCGGAAGCATTCAAGCAGAAGCTAGATATGTACTTGCCACAGATGCAGAACTGAGGCAAAGGGACTGGATTCAATTACTTTCAAGGTCCTAAACTGCTTCTTCCTATTTGTTCCAACACGATGAAAGAAACTTAGACCAAATCTTTAATTTTTTTTTCATCTTAAGTATTTCTTTGGTTTTTGGATACTTGGATGATGGGACTTTTGCTTTCTAAATTGAAGAACCTTTTTTTTTTTAAATTAGTCCTCGGATTTTCTAAGTAGATAATCCTATCATATGATAATAATAATTTTGTCTCTTCATTTCTAACAACTATACTTATTTTTAATTTCTGCTCTAGTCATGGCCACCAGCAAAATGTTGAATAGAAACAGTGATAGTAACACCCTTAGATAATGCTTCAAATGTTTTACTTTTAATATGACATTTGCAGTAAGTTTGCAACCTTTCCTTCTAAGGTAAACTGAGCCTGTTTACATTTGATAATTGCAATAAATGTTTATAGAATAAATGCATAAGCAAATTCCGTTATACCATTTTTTTCCCTTAAGTTAATGAGTATATGTACAATGAGGGGTAAATGCAATGTATAAGATTAGTCAACTTGATGACATATAATATGGATTAAATTGGGCTCTTATTTGTTTTTTCTTTTAGTAAAAACATCATTTTCTTATGTGAGCTTTCCCCCAAACCCTTAGTAAATGAAGAACTGAACTGGAACAAGAAAAGAGTCCCATTTAAAACTCAAACAAAGTAAAGACATTGAGATAAGACTACAGACAATGGTAACGCCATTTAACAAGATGAATTCAATGAACATCGGTAAATGTCTACAAACGTAAGGTTTTCCCCGTGGCACAACCCTACACCGCAATCACTCACAGGAATTCAACTGCCTCCGTATTTGGCAATAATGTTATACAAGTGAATTTGCTGATTACTAGCAAAATTAAGTTATGAACCCAAGGCCACTTAATCAGGAATTTTAAACAACAAAGAAATCCTAGGAATGCAGGTCAAGGCAAGAGTTTGCAGCTGGCCAGATATGATATAATTTGCCTAATTTTCAGTTAGGAATTTGCTACAACAAATAAAATAAGTATCTCCTCTGAGTTACTAGAAAAGAAAACAACAGGTATTGCCTATCACCATTCTGTAACCATGAAATTAAAATATTTCCTGAATGTATGATTAAAAGTTCTTTAAAAACAGTATTAGTCATTCATATATGTTCACAATACAAACTCGATTTCTGAATTGAAAAACACTACTCAGTATTTGCTTAAGAATCACATTTAAACAATATGGCTTTTGCCATTAAAGTTTTATGGGAAGACATCTTTTAATCCTGCTTTAATATCAAACTAAGAGAGCAACTTAAAAAAAATACAGCAATTTAAAAATCCAATAAGAGCATGGGTTAGTCTGATTCAAGAAGTGCTTCCAAAATTCAACCACCTAGCTTCTTTTCAGGAGAAAGTATACATCGTTACAAATCTTTTCTACCTTAACTTTTGGAGAAGAAAATGGAAAATCAAACCCACAGCACAAATGGTTGTGTAAGATGTTTCCTCTACAGCATCAGGCAAAGCCTTCTTATAAGCTGTTCTATTTCAACAGATGATTCAACTGGTCCTGTAGATCAGATGACTGCTCAACACTGGAAATTAGTATAGAGGAAAAAGTTAATCTAGAATGAGCAATAAAGACATCTCTTTGTGCAAATTACTTGTACTCTAATGCATAAGAACCGTTGAAGTTAAAGCAAAATTTATACTGGCCTACTAGGATCCCAGAAGTTTTTAAACTATGAAGAAAAAAATTTGTAAAGCCAATTAGTAGTGTAAACTATATTGCAAGGGACATATTTAATCCACTTTAAAAAAGCAAGTCTGTTTAATGACTTGAGCACATTGACTCTTATTATTACCAGTGTAAAAAGTTTTCTATTCCTTAAGGTTGGTCTCTATACCCTGTAACTTTTAGAAAGCCTATGCTGGCAGAGCATGCCTTTGATTTACTGCATACCTTTGAAGTACAGTAATACCTTGATTTATGAGCATAATTCTTTCCGGAAACAAACTACTCGTATTGCAAGACATCGCTCATTTACCATGTTAAAATGTACTTGGGGGCCGGCCGAGTGGCGCGATGGTTAAGAGCTGGCTTGGGATGCCAGAGGGCCCCGGTTTGGATCCCACATATGAGGGCCAGTGACACTGCCCTCCACAGCTGAGATGCTGAACAACAGCTCAACCTGGAGCTGGGCTGCCGTGAGTTGCCGGCGACGGCGTAGGCTGCAGCCCCTGTGGCAGTGGGTTGCCATGGGCTACCGTGTGTGGCCAGCAGCCAGCGTGAGCAGCCAGCAGCCGCAGTGAGCGGCCGTCCAGAAGCCGGCGACTGATCTGCCTCGCCCGGGAAGAGCGCAATGATGGTGCCAACTTGGGCCAGTGAAGCAACGTCCTCCACAACTAGACTAAAGAACCAAAAACGACAGCAACTTGTCTGTTCCCCTTCCCCCAATTCCCCAGCATTGTTCCCATCCCTCCATTCCCCCAATAAAAATCTTTAAAAAAAAAAAAATGTACTTGGTTTGCGAGCATAATTAATTCTGGAAACAAACTACTCGTATTGCAAGACATCCCTTGTTTACCAAGTTAAAACGTATTAGAAATGTTTGCTCATCTTGTGGAACACTCGCAAACCAAGTTACTCGCAATCCAAGGTTTTACTGTATACTGTATTTGTATATTCCAAATGAGCTATCCCAGAACATATGCCAACTTAAGTACATCTGCCAGCCAGTTTTTTGGGTTTTTTTTAAAAGGTTTTTTTGGGGAATTGGGGGAGGGGAACAGCGTTGGGGGATCGGGGAAGGGAAAAAGACAAGTTGCTGTCCTTTCTTCCTCTTCAGTCTAGTTGTGGAGGACATCGCTTCATTGGCCCATGTTGGTATTATCATTGCACTCTTCCCAGGAAGGCAGTCGTTTGCCAGTCATTGGACGGCTCCTCACGGGGGCTCACAGCAGCTCACGAAAGTGCACGCCAGCTGCCGGCCAGCCCCACTGCAACCCTACGCCATCGCCAGCGACTCACAGCAGCCCAGCTCCAGGTCGAGCTGTTGTTCACCATCTTAGCTGTAGAGGGCACAGCATCACTGGCCCTCATGTAGGATCTGAACCAGGGCCCTGCTGCTCAGAGCTGGCTTCCCAAGCCAACTCTTAACTAATGCGCCACTCGACTGGCCCTGCCAGCCAGTTATGCACTGACCCTAGGCCAGCAGTGTAACTCCCCCTAGCCTGCTGCAGTTGGTCACCTGCTCCCCTGCCTTTGGGGTTACTTACTTTTTCTGAATAGCTTCTTGCCTAAATCAGAAAAGGAAAGAGAAAAATAAATGTAAGAAAGTTCAGTGAACTAGCAGAAGTTATTTATGGCCATATAAAGCAAGAGAACAAATTTCCAGCTTATGTCACATTCTATATTTCTGTCCATCCTATCGATAGCTAAGTTTGTGCTATTGAACCCCTGTTCAATGTCTGAGTGCAGAGCTGCTGAAAAGGTAGATTCTAAACCTAAAAGGTAATAATAGGGCCGGCAGAGTGGCTCAGTTGGTTAAGAGCTCGCTCAAGAGTTTGAGCTCTGAGCAACAGCGGTTCGAGTCCAGCCCGAGCTGAGCAGCCGCTGAGCTGCCAACAGGTAGCAGGATGGCTCAGTTAAAAAAAAAAAAAAAAGGTAATAATAGTCTATCATAGAGAGTGGGGTGTGGTAAAAAAAACTACATACGTGATTCAAATTCAGTTTGCGTATGATGCAGTCAAATGGTCACATACCTGATAGGCACCCACCAAAAGAATGAACATAAAGCTATTTAAATATTAAGAGTTGAATTTCCAATAGGTACGAGTATAATATCAACTACATAAAATATATAACAAAGTGGGATGAAATTATTATTTTATCCAAAATTACAATGGAGAAGTTGTCTCTACATTTCAAAATCTCCTGGATGGTTTACATGTAGCTAGGCTGGGTTACATGTAGAAATGTAGGATACAGGTCACAGTAACACTTGACTCCCCAGGAAAGGAGCAGACTCCCCAGGAGAGAGATCGGGCACAGTCAACAAATGCTGATTAAGTGCCTACTGGGTGCCAAGCACTGTGCCAGCATGGTCCTAGCATGGGCCCTGCCCTTATGGGGTTTACAGTCTCTTCCTCTGAGTCCTCAAATTGACACAGAAAAGTTCACAAAGGGTAGTCCCTGCTCTGACCTCACCCCCACCCCAACTTCTGCAGTCTCAGGCATCTTTTCCAGAGGGAACTCTTCCTTGTCCAACCCCACCTGTACTCCCAACTCTTGCCTCCACAGGAAAATGTGCTGAAGCACCAAGGCAACAAGAAGTAGCCTGAGAATAACGACTATGTAGCAAGTAGTCAGTGGAGAGGGCATACTCACTGGTATTGAAGATGTGTTGTTATTATTGCCATTTTCCTTAAACTCTGCATTGAAAAAAACAACAACAAAGAAATAGAACATTCCATGTCCCTGGACCCACACAAACCATGTATATAAAACCCAAGTCATAAAAGAAAGGGCTTCTTACATCTTCTGAGTGCAAGATGGCATCTTCCTGTAGTACCATGTTTCGAGCTGCCTGACCTAGCAGCTGGAAGACAAAAATAAAATGGTAATAATCAAAATTTCCCAACTTCCTGTAATCTTCTCTCTGCAGCTGTTATACAACCCCCACTCTCCTATTCAACTACAAACACTCAAATGTAATGGAGGATAATGTTCCTCTTGTTCATGTTGAAAATCTATTTCATTGTCACTGTGGCAGTGCTGGCATGGGCTCGACATCTGTCCCCAAGGCCACTGCCTGAGAAATGCAGTGCCCCACAACTGCTGAGCTCTCTGCATAGCTTATTGGTCACGTGCTGAGAGGAGAAGTCTGCAAAAAAAAACACCTTTGGCTCAGCAAGCCCAGTGAGAACCTGACTTCTGATTCTTTAAAGGCAAATGTGAGATTTGGGGTGGTTTGAGAGGAGTGAGGGGTTTAGGGTGGGAATGAAAAGGATAGAAGGGATGTAGCTGTTTAGAAATGGAATGGGAGCCACAGAGAAAACAAAACAAGACCCAAAAAATGCCTGGGAAGAAGCTCAGGATTTAAAGTGGGAAATCACCACATGAAGGAAGGCCAGATGGGGCTGGGGAAGAGAGAAGAAAGGAGAACGTGGAAGCAGGTTGCACTGAGTTCCCTGATCGCTGCGCCCTGAGACCAAGAGAGAAAAGCTGGGCTGTGAGTGGCTGGTGCTCAAAGAGATGAGGACTCAGCACTGAGAGGCAAGAAGAGATCAGCAGTGGTTTCTGGTCTAGCAGTGGTTTCTGGTCTAGCAGTGGTTTCTGGTCTAGCAGTGGTTTCTGGTCTACTTTGCACCCTGTTCCTGGTCAACATTAAATCTACCCATGTAAAGGGAGATACTGTTATGCATGTCCTACCAACCTTCCCTGTTTCTTGGATCAGAGATTCTGGTGAAAAGGGGATCCACGACTTCACATTAACCAGGAACACCAGCACTGCTTCAGCCCCCAGAGTCCTTCCCCCAAGGCAACTTTTATTTATTTTTCTTTTTAAAATTAATAAACCTTTACGTGCTTCTAAAGTCAAAACAATAAAACAAGACCTTCCATCCCTGTTTCTTCCCCACCCTGTTCTCTCTCCTCTATGCATAAATATTTTTAATTAGTTTTTGGTTTATCTTTCCATTGTTCCTTTATAAAACAATAGATAGATATGTATATTCTGTCCCCCTTACTTAAAATGCAACTTACTATATGCCCTCTTCCACACCCTGTTATTTTCACTGGACAATATATACTGAGCTGGATCTGCAGCAATAGACAGTGAATCTCCACATTGCTTTTTCAGCTACAGGGCACTCCACTACATAGCTGACTCATAAGGGTATTCAACCAGTCTGCCACTGTGGACGTTGGGGCTGTTTTCAGTCTTTTGCTATTATGATCAGTGCTACAAAAAGTTCCTTATATACCTATGCATCTTTTTGCCAGCGTATCTTTGGGATAGACTCATAGAATCATAATTGTGACAGCTGGATCAGAGGGCTTAAATTTTGCTACATAGTACCAAATTCTCCTCCAACAGAGTTATACTATTTTACATTCCCACTCACAATGTACAATTAAGATCTGACAGTTAAGTTTGCAAACTTATCCTAGAAAATGTGCTACATATCTCATTGCTGAATATCACTACAGTCATCTTCGAAGTACTCCCCTTGGGAAGCTATGCATGGACGCCAGTGCCTAGTCCACCCCTCAAAGCAATTTTGGAACTCTTTTGCTGGAATGGCCATCAGAGCTGCTGTCGTATTACCCTTGAGTCCTGAATGTCATCAAAATGTCTTCCTTTCAATATTTCCTGTCTCTTTGGGTAAAGAAAGAAGTCACTGGGGGCCAGATCAGGTGAGTAGGGAGGGTGTTCCAATGCAGTTATTTGTTTACTGGCTAAAAACTCCCTCACAGACAGTGCCGTGTGAGCTGGTGCATTGCTGTGATGCAAGAGCCATGAATTGTTGACAAAAAGTTCAGGTCATCTAACTTTTTCATGCAGCCTTTTCAGCACTTCCAAATAGTAAACTTGGTTAACTGTTTGTAGTTGGTACAAATTCATAATAAATAATCCCTCTGATATCAACAATGGTTAGCAACATCGTTTTGACAGAGCTTTTTGGTCGTGGAGAATTGGCTGGCTTCCATTGTGCACTTTGACGCTTTGTTTCAGGGTTGTATTGGTATACCCATGTTTCATCACCAGTGATAATACGGCCCAAAACATTGTCTTGCCTCTCCAAGAGGTCTTGGCAAACTTCAACTCTCGTTCGTTTTTGTTCATTGGTGAGCGCCTTCAGGATGATTTTTGCACACATCTTTCTCATACTAAGATTTTCAGTTAAGATTTTCCTGTTTCTCTATTGTTTAGTTGGTCTGCTATGCTTCTCACAGTCAGCAGACAATTTTGATGCACAATGCAACAAATTTTTGCAATGTTTTCATCAGTTCTGCTTATTACTGTCCACCCTGACCTCTCTTCATCAGTGACGCATTCTCTCCCCTCATAAAAACGTTTAATCCACTTTTACACTGCTGTTTTCTTCATGGCATTATCCCCATAAACTTGGACTAACACGTCCCTGATTTCACTTCCACTCTTGCCAAGTTGAACAAGAAATTTAATGTTTGTTTGTTGCTCTAATTCAGGCTCAGACATTCTCACCACAGCACATGAAAACACGCAACAACAATAATGAACGCCACTCAGCAAGAGACTGCCACACATTGACACGAACACAGCTGTGAGACACTGATATACCAAGGTTTTGCAACCTCACCAAGCTGTTTGTACAGTGCTGCCAATGTAAGCGCATGATGGCAAGTTCGCGACCTTAATTGTCAGACCTCGTATGAACGTGCCATTCCCTCCTGTGGCCATTTGTAAATACCAAACTCCAAACTCCTATAGATGGAGGATGGTGAGTGGGAAACTATTAAGTTGTCGGAAAAGTCATGACGTATTTTTTCTGTTTTTCATTGCAAAAATGCATCATGACTTTTCCGACAACCCAATAATAGCAAAAAAGAAGGGTTCTACTGGAATCTTCATTCATTCACAAAGCCATTCAACAAATATTTACTAAGTGTTTATGATATGCCAGTAGGAGACATAGTCGCTGTCCTTATGGAACTCACAATCTGAGGTTACAAGAGGACGTAGGCACTCTAATACTTTGTGTTAAGTGCTGACCGGGACGCACTAGATGCCTTGAGAGCATGGAAGTGAGGGAGTGGGGGTGTCTAACCCATTCAGGAATAGGGTTCAGAGAGGGTTTCCTAAAAGAAGTGACTTCTAAGCTGAGACCTAAAGGATGAGGTTGAGAATTCCTCTTAAGGGTAATTTTATAGAACAGTGGTATGATCAGATTAACCATTTTAGAAGTATGGTAAGCACAATGGCCTAGAGGGGAGACTGAAGGCAGAGAGATTGGTTAGGAGAACATTACAGTATTCTAAGCAAGCAATGAGAGTGGCCTGAACCACAGAAGTGACAATTACGAAAGGGTGGGGGTGACAGAGACGCTGAGAGACATTTAGAAGACAGACTTGAAGGAACCTGTGATTGCCTGGAATGCAGGGGACACTGTAATGTAGGGTCAAGGACTTTCCTTTGATGACAGATGTATTCAGTGGCATTGTGCATCATTGTCTTACATAAACCAACCACGCACGTAACATATCATTTAAGATTTCCAGTTTGGGGTTCTTTAAAGTGGGACGCCTTGAATACCCCTAGAAAACAATCCGAGTACCAAATCCTTTTAGATTTCTAGGAATTTATCCCTCAAGCTTTTACTTGCTCATTATTAACTCAGTAACAGTCTTAATACTCGTGTTCAGCAAGTATTAATATTTCTGATTTTCAACTTAGTTTCCATAGCAATAGCAGCCCTGTTTGTTTTTGCACTCATATTTCATTGTTTTCCATATTATTTCATTAATGTAGCTGCAACAGCAAATATAGGTGCCTCACACAGGGTTAGGAAAAAACACAAGGGACCCCGACTAAGCACACGAGTCAACTGCAGGAGAAGTACAGGTGTAATGAGAGGAGCGTCTTAGTCACAAGCATTCACTGTGCTGGGGACACAAGTTGGTATGTTTTCCCTCACTCTGTACCCCAGCCATACTGGCCTCCATCCATTCCTCCACACATTCCCATCTCAAGGCCTTTGAGTTTGCCACTTCCTCTTTTTGGAACTCTCTGCCTCTACATCTCCATATGGCTTGCTCCCTCACCTCATTCAAGCATCTGTTCAAATGTCACCTCTTCAGAGAGCCCTTCCCTGACCACTATATTTAGGTAAACCCTTTCATCACTCTCTATTCCCAGCTTTAGTTTTCTTAGCATTTATAACCACCTGATTTTTGTGTGTGTTTTGTTTATCTGTCTCTTCACTATATTAAAATGTAAGCTTTCTAAAAAAGGGGGCTTAGTTTTGTTTACTGCCTTCTCCCTTGTTCCTAGAACAGTTCCTGACACACAGCAGACACTCAATAGATATGTTAAATGAATGCTGTGGCATGAGTGTTTTATACACAGAGATTGTCAGTTAATCAAACAAAATAGCTATGTGGAGTCTGTTGAAAAGAGAAGCAATGCTCTATGAGCTGAGAAGGATCGAAAATCAGTTAAGACATTCCAATAGCCTCAAAGTCTACTAAAGGAAAAGGCAAGAATATGTAAGTAACTAAAGAAAAAAAGCAATATGGTATGTGATAAACGCCATGTAAGAGATCCAGTAAAAAGACAACATTCAGAGGCTTGAGAGATGATTGTCAACCCCTGTCTCAGACAGCTTAACTCAAGCCATACCACTTCTTGGCACCTTATCTCAATCTACTACAGAAGCAGCCCATGTGAAAAATACACAGGAGGAGAACAGAAAGGAGCAAGTCACATGAGGGCAATCAGTGGTGGTACAGTGGCTTTTTGGACACTTAATCCAGCTAGTACAACATGAGAGGTAGTGGCCTGGAGTGTGGACCTAAAACCAGTCTGCTTATGTTTGAATCCTAGCTCTACCCCTTACTAGCTACTATGTGACCCTAGACAAGTTAAGTTCCTCTCTGTATCTTCTACATAAAAAAATAAAATAAAGAAATTTAAAAAACCTCCTTACCCTTAGTAATATTTTTACTGATATGTGTCACCCTCAGGGAAGGGAAACAAAAGAAAAAATACACAAATGGGACTACATCGAACTAAAAAGTTTTTTCAGAGCAAAGAAAACCATTGACAAAACAAAAAGACATCCTACTGAATGGGAGAAGATATTTGCCAATGATAAATCTGATAAGGGGTTAATATCCAAAAATTATTTTAAAAACTCATACAATTCAACACCAAAAAACCCAAACAATTCAATAAAAAAATGGGCAGAGGACATGAATAGACATTTCTCCAAAGAGGACATACAGATGGCCAACAGACATATAAAAAGACGTTCAACATCACTAATCATCAGAGAAATGCAAATAAAAATCACAATGAGATATCACCTCACACTTGTCAGGATGGCGATCATCAATAAATCAACAAACAAGTGTTGTGAGGATGTGGAGAAAAGGGAATCCTCATGCACTGTTGGTGGGATTGTGAATTGGGGCAGCCACTATGGAAAACAGTATGGAGGTTCCTCAAAAAGTTAAAAATAGAACTACCTTATGACCCAGCAATTCGACTCCTGAGTATTTATTCAAAGAAATCAAAACAGTAATTAAAAAAAAATAAGTGCTCCTATGTTTACTGCAGTGCTATTCACAATAGCCAAGATATGGAAACAACTGAAATGCCCATCAATAGGTGATTGGATAAAGAAACTGTGGTACATTTATGCAATGGAATATTACTCGGCCATAAAAAAGAATGAAATCTTACCATTTGAAACAACATGGATGAACCTAGAGGATATTATGCTAAGTAAAATAAATCAGACTAAGAAAGACAAATACCATATAATTTCATTTATATGTGGAATCTAAAGAACAATAAATGAGCAAACGTAACAGAAACAGACTCATAGATACAGAGAAAAAAACTGAGGGTTGCTAGATGGGAGGGGAGTGGGGATGGGGGAGAAGGTTAACAGATTAGAAAGTACAAATTGGAAGTCACAAAATAGTCACGGGATGTGAAATACAGTATGGGGAATATAATCAATAATGCTGTAAAGCTTATGTAGGGTGTCAGATGGGTGCTGGACTTATTGGGGGATTGATTATATAAGTACCTAACCACTGTGCAGTACACCTTAAACTAATATAATATTTAATGTGAACTAGAACTAAATATATACCAGGAGTGCCAAAAAAATGTACACATTTTAAGAGGTGTTATCTATGTATTACTTTTCAAAGTTGAATTGAATTATGGTAGCAATGTGTAGTATGACGTTCACTCAAAAGATGGCGTTAATTAAATGAACGCTAGTGTCATTCATTGTATTAAAATTTTAGGGCTGGGGCCGGCCGAGTGGCGCGATGGTTAAGAACTCTCTTGGGATGCCAGAGGGCCCTGGTTCTGATCCCACATATGAGGGCCAGTGACACTGCCCTCCACAGCTAAGATGCTGAACAACAGCTCAACCTGGAGCTGGGCTGCCGTGAGTCGCTGGCGACGGCGTGGCCTAGGCTGCAGCCCCTGTGGCAGTGGATTGCCATGGGCTACCGTGTGTGGCCAGCAGTCAGCGTGAGCGGCCAGCAGCCGCAGTGAGCGGCCGTCCAGAAGCCGGCGACTGATCTGCCTCGCCAGAGAAGAGCGCAATGATGGTGCCAACTTGGGCCAGTGAAGCAACATCCTCCACAACTAGATTGAAGAACAAAACGACAGCAACTTGTCTGTTCCCCTTTCCCCAATTCCCCAGCACTGTTCCCATCCCCCCAATTCCCCAATAAAAATCTTAAAAAAAAAAAAAAATTTTAGGGCTGGCCGAGTGGCATGTTGGTTAGGAGTTGGCTTGGGACGCCAGCTCTGAGCAGCAGGGCCCCGGTTCAGATCCCACATGCGGGCCAGTGACGCTGCGCCCTCTACAGCTAAGATGGTGAACAACAGCTCGACCTGGAGCTGGGATGCCGTGAGTTGCTGGCGACGGCGTAGGCTGCAGTGGGGCTGGCCGGCAGCTGGTGTGAGCTTTCATGAGCTGCCGTGAGCCGCAGTGTGCCACTGTGAGTGGCCATCCAATGGCCGGCAAGCTACTGCCTTACCCGGGAAGAGCACAATGATGATATCAACATGGGCCAGTGAAGCAACGTCCTCCACAACTAGACTGAAGAACAAAAGGGCAGCAACTTGTCTGTTCCCCTTCCCTGATTCCCCAAAGCTGTTCCCCTCCCCCAATTCCCCAATAAAATCTTAACAAAAAAAATTTTTAATACAGTTTTTTCCTTTCTTAAAACATGTATACATTTTCTTGGCACCCTCTGTATATATAGTCATGGGATATAGAGTACAACATGGGGAATATAGTCAATGGTACTATAACTATGTACAATGTCAGAGGGGTAGTAGATTTGGGGGGGTTATCACTTTGTGAGGGGTGTAAATGTCTAATCATTATGTTGTTTTGTATACCTGAAATAAAAAAGTAATTTAAAAAAACCTACCTCCTTTATTAACAATTATAATGATTTAATGAATTAAACTACACAAAACACAGCAGTGTCCAGCACACAGTAGATGCTCAATAAATGTTGTTTATTATGATGAATATGGGTGTTCCATACACACTGGTGGTTGACTATGAACACCATATACTTTTTAAAATTTATATGTTTATACCCTGTTTCTCTCCAAAAAAGATTCAAGGCAATTTATATCAAACTATGTGTGTGTGTACACATACACACACATTTTCTTAAAACAGAAATAGAATCTAAAAGTCACAAAAAGAAGAAAGAAGTAAATATGTCTACCACTGAAACTGACATAGGAACTTCTGTGCAACCAAGGCAAAAAGTGAAACAATGAGTTGCATAATTCTTATTCCGTAAAAGGCAACATAACAACACTTCAAAGAGATAACCTTCCTCTGCTACTGAATCCTAAAATGAATATATCATGTGGGATCTCACACAAAGCATATTTGGGATCACCGGATCAATGACTTCAACAATGGTGTTACGGTCAATGCAAACACTTTCTTCACACAGTTGTTTCTTTTAGCCACTATCAATAAAAGCTCAGGACGTACCATGAAAGCTAATTCTGTAAAGACAATTCTACTGGGCCCTAAACTAATATGAATAAAGCTGCTATGAACATTCATACACAAGTCTAAAGACTTGTAGACATACTATGCTTGCTACTGCAACTAACTACATACCTTAATGAAATAATATAGAAACTGATCAAATGAGTAAAAAAATGAGAGCTGCTATTTCTAAGAAAACTAAGTTGAAAATCAAAAATACTTGAAGATGAGCAGCTAAGATACACTGATGAGTTAATTATGAGCAAGACAATGGCCTACAGGAGAAAGTCGTAGAAATCTAAAAGGATTCTGTACTCAAATTTTTTTACAGGTGTATTCAAGATGTTGTTCCACTTTAAGAAAACCAAAATTGGACATCTTAGATGACATGTTATGTGTGTGGTTGGTTTATGTAACAAAATGATGGACATATTTTCCATTCCTCTTGAATCAAAACCTAGGAGTGGATTAGCCACGTGATGAGACCCATTTTGTTTATCCATTCTGTCAATGGGCGTTTGGGTTCTTTCTACTTTGGTGCTACTATGGATAAAAGTGCTATAAACATGTACAAGTCTTTGCGTGGACATATACTTTTATTTCACTTGAATGAATATCTAGGAGTGCAATTGATAGGTCTTGTTTTGGAGAAAGACAGAATGTAAGTATATCAAGTTTTCTGGTGTGAAGAGGCATCACATAATTCCATACATGGAACCAGCCTGATGAGGACGAAAACAGGGGAAAGAAGAAGTAAGAGAAAACCAAGAATATGCCCAGAACGACAAATCAGAAAAGAATCAATTCATAGACAGATGATACAAAAAAATATGGAAGAAATCTGGGATGTTGCCGGTATATCATGCGGCGTTTGGGGGCGACAAGGGACAGGTCTTCACTAAAGACAACCCCGAGAAACAAATGAGGAACTGGTTAGGACGACTACCTCATCCGTCGTCCTGCTGCAATCTCCACTTTAAAGCACAGATTCGCATCATCTGGTTTCTTTCCCCTCCTACACCGCTAGTCGTCCCGGAGACTATACATCCCAGAATGCAACACTTGCCCTCCACAAACGAGCTCTACTCTCCGCCACCAGTTCACAGCCTACAATTCCCAACTTGCAACGCGACCCCCTTCCCACAGCTATGAAAGACGTGGAGTCCCCCGGGGAATACGGCCTGGGGAATGCACTTCCAGCTCACCTCAGAGCTCCGGGAGCCCTTCAGCACCTGCTTAGTGAGCGCGATCACGTCAGTACCGCAGGTGTTCACTTTCTCCGTGAGAAGCCCCTTCACGGACTGACCGAATCGCGCTTGCGTCTCCGGCGTTCCAGTCGCCATCTCTTCAACTAGTGAACGCCTCCGCACGAGCGACGGAGAGCCACCGGAGCCAAAAGGCCTGCAAAGCGAAAGGGGGGGAAAAAAAGAGTTGAAAAGAGGGACTCAAGCGCCTGCGGAGGTTCATCTTGGCTAAATTAAATTCCCAGATCTTCCACATGCCCCTTTGCAGTCCATCTGCCCCTCACCAGACGACAACTAACCTGCTTTCTTGCACTATAGACTAATTTGCATTTCTAGAATGTTATATAAATGGAATCATACAGGAAATACTTTCTCGTGTGTGCCTTCTTTCTCTCAGCATGATTTTGAGAGTCATCCACATGGTTCTGTGTGTCATTAGTCTGTTCCTTTTTATTGATGAGAAATATTCCATTGTTTGGCAATCCCTCATTTTGTTTATCCACTCACCTGTTGATGGACATTTGGAATGTTTCCGTTTGGGGGATATTATTAATAAAGCTGCTATGAACATTTACATACAAATCTTTATAAGTGCTGTTTCCATTTATCTTAGGTAATATCTAGGAATGAAATGGCTGGGTCACATGGTAGGTGTTTAACTTTTCAAGAAACTGCCAAACCATTTCCCAAAGTCATTTACCATTTTACATCCCCAACAGTGGTATAGGAGACTCTGGTTGCTGCATGCCCATAAACTTCAGAAAAGACTGATTGTTCTACAGCCACGGTAACAAGTAGCCACCTATGGTAGACAGACTGTCCACCAACAGCTGGCTTCCGTGATCCCTGTCTCTTGGTTTTCATGCCCTTGTGTGGTCCCCTCCTCTTACTTGTGGGAAGAACCTGTGACTTGCTTCTAACCAATACTATATGCATAAGTGATGGCAGATAGGTGATTATGTGTACATGAGTATGTGGTTACATCATATAAGATTGTAAAGCTCATCTTGCTGGAGTCACCCCCTTGCTGTGAGGAAGCAAGTGGCCATGTTGGAAAACATGTGGCAAGGAACTGCAAGCACCATCTATTTACTGAGGGCTGAGTCTCCAGCTGACAGGCAGCAAAACAATGAAGCTCACAGTCAAATAACTAGCTAGGATATGAATGCTACCAACAATCAGGCAAGTAGGGAAGCATATCCTTCCCCTGTTAAGCCCCCAGATGAGAACCTGGACCTGGCGCACACCTTGATTAAAGCCTTGTGACACCCTAAGTACATGACCCAGAAAAGCTGTACTTGATCCCTGACCGACAGAAATTATAAAATAATAAATGCATTTTGTTTTAATCCACTAAGTTTGTGGTAGCATTATACAGCAATAGAAAACTAATACACCACCAGAACTTGTTTGAAATATGTACAATCTATGACAATGCACCTCATCCCTTTTATAAATCAAATAATCAGGATCTGCTCCTCACTTCTTCTATAGATGTTGATGTAAACAAAACCAACTCCATCTTTGTATCCCAGAGTTTTCATGCTGTGACCTTTGACCAACCTTAACGTCCTTAGCAAAGCATACCAAAGCCTTCTAGTTGACGATTATCTGTGTTCCTTAAAATGTAGCCAAAATTTTTTTGTTAGTAATGTCTCAAATGGCATGACAACTAAGACAAATATCAAATTAGTCATAGTATTGATGATAAACAATTACCTTTCACAAGACCACCGAGCGGTATGGCCCCCTGGCACGTACTGCATTCTTTGTCTTGTCAACCGTGAATACCTGGGTTATACTATTTAAAAAGTACTATAAGGGCTGGCCAAGTAGCTCAGTTGGTTATGAGCTCACTCAAGAGTTTGAGCTCTGAGCAACAGGGTTGCCGGTTTGAGTCCCAGCCCAAGCTGAGCTGCTGCTGAACTGCCAACAGGTGGCAGGATGACTCAGCTAAAAAAAAAAAAAGTACTATAACAGGGGTCTGTTAGCAGAGAATAATTTGTGCAGAACTGCTGGGTCATCTGTCTACTCCGACCCTACATTCCTGTAAGTAAATAATAAATTCTTTTATGTTCTATGGAGTTGCCTGCTTTGTTTGTCAGTCTTAAGATACCTTCTAATTTTGGTGTCCACTAAACCTTTGCCCCACCATCAAACACTTCTGAAAGTCAGTAATTCAGGGACAGATTCATGCCAATAATCATCCCTCAGAATGCCAATCAATCAACAATTGTAATGTCACATCTACGGATGCTTTCAGCCTGCTTACATCCATCAATCCCTGAAGTCAACGCTTCCCAAAAACTCTGTTGTGATCAGCAGTCTACTCTCAATAAATTTAATTTTGTCCTTTTATTTCATATACTCAGTTGTATTCTTGCCACCTTTTGACAGTTCTAGAGGATGCACCAAATCGCTTTTAAGACCCTCACTTGGCAGCATTTCCACGGACTCCAGATCAACGTCCACATTCACTGGACCCCTTGTGCCCTCCCTCTGTCTGACCTTCAGATCACATGCCACACGAGTTGGTCTCAAGAATTTGGGGGCGGCCAGTTAGCTCAGGGGGTTAGAGCGCAGGCTCATAACACCAAGGTTGCTGGTTCGATTCCCACATGGGCCAAGGAGCTGCACCCCTCACAACTAGATTGAAGACAACTACTTGACGTGGAGCTGATGGGTCCTGGAAAAACACACTGTTCCCCAATAAAATTTCTAAACAAAACAAAAAAAGGAGCAATTTGAATTCTAACTACTTCCAATGAGCTCCTGTTGCTAATTTTATTGTGTTATCCAATGCCATGTAGCCAAATAGATCTTTGTGTAAAGTCTTTATTTAGACTCAGGTCTTTGTATAGGGTAATTAGGCCTGGATCTTTGTATTAAGTAATAAGACCTTTGGGTTTGGAGATGCGCCATTTAGTTATTAATTTTATGTCTTTGTATAAGGTTATTAGACTTTTTGTTTGGTGGTATATTGTTTGATACATATTTTTGCCATTAACGTGATTATTCTCCTATAGCTTGACTTGCTTTTGCTGTTGCTTGTCTCTAAATATACAGTTAAGTTTCAAAGGTTTTTGCTTTTTCCAGGATCATCTTGTTTCTTTTGAATGTGTTCCATAGCAAATGGATAGAGTCATAGGCATGATAGTCTCCAACCCCTCCAAGCTGGCCCTTGAGGGTTAATGGGTTAGGTCTGTTAGACTGGAGACTGACTGATGTTATCACATGTAGTAAATCTCTTTTGCTCACTGAAACCACCTAACATTTTTCCACTGGTTGATTAACTAATTATGAATTATTGTTACTTTCTCCCTCTTGTATTACCATCTACTGGTATAATTTCCTTAATCCAGAAACTCTATGACCTTTACTCAATAAAGGGGAATCCTTAAATTGTGTTTCTGGAATTCATGAAGGGCCCATGACCAGAACACAACTTTTGGCACTACCAATACTAAAACTTGATGCAATATTGTTTGTCGATTGACTTCTTAGTAAGAATAAAAAGTGACGGTACCAGGCTTGATACAGGTAGTCCAGTCACTCTTCCAAAATCCAGTTCCTTACCAGAAGTCAAATTGTTCAGTTGACTGAACTGTAGCCCTTTCTAGGGCATTTCAAATTATTCAAATAAAAGAGTCAATATGCAATCCAATAGCTGGTATGCTTTAAAAATGATTAATGTCTTTAAAATACTTTTTAAAAAGGTTTTAAACTGCCTCAGAAACTCTTTAAAAATAAACAGCAAATGTGAATTACCTGATACCTTGATACCACCTGAAATAATTGCTGGTCCTAAAGGTAGAAAGTCTCAGCATTATACTACAGAAGCTCGTACAATACTACAAACATACTTTAAAGGTCATCACATTGAACAGGCTGCTGTGATTAAAAGTTTATATACAAGGACCTTATATAAAACAACAAAAATAATAACAAATTCATGGAGAAGATAAAGGATTCCATCATAAATACACAAAATCTGGCATACTAGATTCTCAGAAGAAAGACAAGGAAAAACTGAGTTTAAGACCTATGAAGATAAGATCTTTGGAAACCAACTTTGTCACCTGGCTGCATCGCATAAAACTTCAGATTGACTCTAGATGAAGTTCTGCATGACACACCTCATTCCAGGCAGTGCAGCGTGGCCCCAATATAAAACACTGATTGGGAAAGTTTTTCTAAAGTAACCGAGGGTGTGGCCAGTACATGCCTGATTTATAATTACATTAATCAGCATAAATTTGAAAAGGTATGATTCCAACTATATGACATTCTGATAAAGGCAAAACTATAGAAACACTAAAAAGATCAGTACTTGCCAGGTGTCAGGGGGAACATAGAGATTGTAGATAATCTGTATCATTTTTTTTCCTTACGTGTTTGATAGAATTCACCAATGAAACCATCTGGGCCTGATGCGTTCTGTTTTGGAGGGTTATTAATTATTGATTCAACTACTTGACGAGATATAGACCTGTTCAGATTATCTATTTCTAATTGTATGAGTTTGGGTAGATTGTGTTTTCAAGGAGTTGGTGCATTTCATTTAGGTTAAAATATGTGGACATAGAGTTGTTTATAGTATTCCTTTATTATCCTCTTAATGTCCACGGGGTCAGTTGTGATGGCCCCTCTTTCACTTCTGATATTAGCAATTTGTGTCTTCTCTATTAGGAAAAAAAAACAAAAACCCAGGTTAGCCTGGCTTGAGGTTTATCAATTTTATTGATCCTTTAAAAAACCAGCTTTAGTTTTATCGATTTTCTCTATTGCTTTCCTATTTTAAATTTTATTGATTTCTGCTTTTTTACTATTTATTTTCTTCTGCTTGATTTAGGTTTATATGGCTTTCCTTTCCCTAGTTTCCTAAGATGGAAATTTAGAGTATTGATTTTAAATCTTTCTTCTTTTCTTTCTTTTTTTTTTAAAGATTTTATTGGGGATTTAGGGGAGAGGAACAGACAAGTTGCTGTTGTTTTGTTCTTCAGTCTAGTTGTGGAGGATGTTGCTTTACTGGCCCAAGCTGGCACCATCATTGTGCTCTTCCCGGGCGAGGCAGATCAGTCGCCGGCCTCTGGACAGCCGCTCATGGAGGCTGCTGGCCCCTCATGCTGGCTACCTGCCACTCACGTTAGCTTATGGCAGCCCACTGCAGCAGGGGCTGCAGCCTACACCATCGCTGGTGACCCACGGCAGCCCAGCCCCAGGTCGAGCTGCCGTTCACCATCTTAGCTGCAGAAGGTGCAGCGTCACTGGCCCTCATACATGGGATCCCAACCGGGGCCCTCTGGCATCCCAACCCAGTTCTTAACCAACACATCACTCTGCTGGCCCAGATCTTCTTTTCTAACACATGTATTCAATGCTATAAATTTCCCTCTAAGTACTACTTTCACTGCATCCCACAAATTTTGATAACTTGTATTTT